CAAACAGCAAAGGCACTAATGGACAAGTAGAATGTTTGCTTTGCATCATTTGTTAAATTTCTACGGCCATATCGGAAAGCAGCAACTAACGTTACTTTAGCAAACACTGAGTTACACAATTTCTGAACCTGTGGCTGGAAGGTGACTCTGACTCTGAGATGGCCATCTAACACTAAACCAAGGTATTTGGCAGTGCTCGTAGGGGTAAGAGCCTTTCCTTTACAGGCCAAGGACCTTGGCAACGGCACTGTTGGCAGGCATGGCCGCCGCAGAATGAGAAACTTGGTTGTCGGGGTTCATGTGTCTGAGTAACGGCGGAAAAGAACTTGGTTGTGTTATTGCTGTGTGATTATTGTGTTACTGGCTCTAATTCTTTGTGCCATCTTCAATTGTGATAGTTGTGTCTGGTAGGGTTCAGAACACCTCCATTCTGCACTATTCCTTTTGTGTTGATATGTCACATTATGTGAGTTAGTTGAGTGTTTACACCTCAGTGCGCCAATATCTTTTCTATAAAATAGCATTATTCAGCTAAACCCCTTCATTCAACAACTGCTTCTCCTCTGATGAGTTCCCCGTTATTATCTCTATGGAACGAAACAAGACTTGTCAGGAGTACTACTACTTGCTTTCGTGGAGTGTGGCTGGTGAACTGTTCGTGCTGTGATCTGCAAGCGTCGTATGGTCTCGTCGGGTCAAAATGAAAAACCTACTATTACTGGCTCTGTCCACTTGACATAGACCACTATAGCTATACGCAGCCGAGGACCTTACCGTCCTTAGACAACCGTCTAATACACGGTTTAGATAGTGCGACAACAAGGCACAACATTGACCCCGGTTCTGAGACATTCAACGACCTGACACAGTGACACATCTACGAATCGCAAACCAACAACCTTCGTTCCAGCTAGGAAGACTCGGGCGAGGAAAAGTCTAATGGAAGGAGAGCACAACGAAGAAGAGCACGACTCGCTGCGGCTATGCCACCAACGGATGGCGACGAGAATACTTTGAAGTAGTTGGACGGACATACTGATCTAGCACACAGCACAAGAACTCGACGACGCAAAGCAATATGCCATCCATGGCAACTAACGTGTTACTTGGAAGGCTCGAAGTAATTCGTTGTGTATGACCAGGGAGTCCCTCGCCTAGGCTTGGTTGAGCACTCTGTTCTGGTTAGCGTTAAAGTTGTCTGCCCTGGTGCAAGGCTCGCTGTGCTTACTGCTCCGCGGACGAGATCGAACAAGATCGAAACATCTAGTAGCTGTCCGGAGATTGAGTAGACAGCTACCACTGCCTAACAAATGAAGCGTCATGGCTGACCTACGTTGAGTTGAAATTTCATCCCCTGTTAATGTTGGCACCTCCGATATTGTGGCGGATAAATCATCTTGTCTTTTCCGGATACGGGTCGCTGTCCGGTACCAACGGACCTGTCGTCACACGTACGTGGTGGTTTCCTCGGCGGTCTTCCTCGTTTTCTTGCATCCACTTTTGTCGTCACCTCCAGTGTTTTGTCGTCTTTTCCATTGCGCATTCTCATTTGGCTGCGAGTGACCCTCCCAATCTGTGCCACGATCGCACCTCTTCGGTGCCATCGTAAGAGATTTGTACCGCCTCCCAGTGCCAAACCTGGTTGGCTCAGGCCCCGCACTCGCAAGCGATGAAGGACTTGACGATATCGCTGAATCAGTAGGAGACTTGAGCAGGGAACCAAGCGAAACAGACTCAGACAACACACATTTAGGAGGACGACCGCGCGCGCCGTGGACGAGAATCACGTGCGTGCAACGGGACCTGATTCAACGGTACATGTTGGCTATAAAATTAAGCGGTATGTTCGAATTAAAGGGGAAGTTAAGGCAAAAATTAAAATTTCACCAGTTGTAGTCTTCGGGGTGCTGAGTCGAATGGTCTTGGTCCGAGAAAGCTGAGACGCTCACTTCCTATCCCAATCGAACTCGCGCACTTCCACCGAAACTGGGTGACTGCGTCCTACGAGACGGGGATTTGTATGCAAAATGTCACTATAACCGCCATTTCGTTCTTATAAAAGCACGGATGACCGCGATTGGCCCGTATGTTGTAGTCTTTTGGACGCTGAGTCGACTGGTTTTGGTCCGAAAAGGCTGCGATGCAGCGTTCCTCCTTTATTCCCAATCGAACATGGTTGAAGAAGCGATCACGTGCTCCTGCGTATACCAGTCACCTGGTCACCGTGCCTGCAGGGTACAACTTACTAGCCTGTTTGACCTTTTTTGGGTGCACTCCTAGATCCTGTCACTCGAGTTGAACCTAGTAACTTGGTGTGAAATTTGTCGCCTGCTGGCGTGGTGACAAGGTGATTTGGGCACCCAGGAGCACGTGACCGCTTGTTCAACCATGTTCGATTGGGAATAAAGGAGGAACGCTGCATCGCAGCCTTTTCGGACCAAAACCAGTCGACTCAGCGTCCAAAAGACTACAACATATGGGCCAATCGCGGTCATCCGTGCTTTTATAAGAACGAAATGGCGCTTTTAGTGACATTTTGCATACAAATCCCCATCTAGTAGGGCGCAGTCACCCAGTTTCGGTGGAAGTGCGCGAGTTCGATTGGGATTCAAGTAGCAAGGGAGCGTCTCAGCTTTCTCGGACCAAGACCATTCGACTCAGCAACCCGAAGACTACAGCTGGTGAAATTTTAATTTTTGCCTTAACTTCCCCTTTAAGCCATATTCGAATTATCAGGATTCCACCTGTATAAAGTATGTACATGTAGTGGTAACAGCCGCCACGCGCCAGCCCATACGGTCAGGCAAGAAGACACTTCCTTCGAAATAAGACTCAGGAGGCAATGAGAGCCTGCTTCAAGTATCCAGTCACTAAATTTGCCAAATTTCAATTCGAAGACATGAACAGTCACCTTGTCCTTTCTGTTCGTACTTATGGTTTCCCTGTAGCTGTGTGGAATAATCCCGAATTTTCAAGATCTTGGGCTTCTTGGAAAGGTCTCAGTAATCTGCATGTGGATGCACCTAGACGATGTTTCAAGTGTTGTCTGTGCAAGGGAAACAGAACGAAACGAATCTATTCTTTTGAATTGGCTCATCCTCCATTCCAGTGGGGACATCCCGGCGGCCATTGTTAGAATGGTGATAAACAGTGCAAGGTTGCCACTGGAGATATCCCCACGTCAGTTGTGTTGGAGGTATCACTTCCATCTCCAAAATTATCACCTGACAGTCTCTGCACCGAGTGCAGAGACTGTCCATGTGGCAAAGCAGGCTCAGCGCCAAGGCTGACAGCAACACTGTTGTATCCATGGTATCGTTCAAAACAAAACAAAACAACTCAGCATGTACAGTGGCGTGTCCAGGATTTGGCTGAGGGGGGGTTGCGGCCGGGATCGAGGCGGGATGGGGTGGGGGTACATGACATCATGCTACTGTCCCAGGTCAGCCATTTTGAAAACCAATGTCAAGAAGCTCCTCCTGTAGCCCCCTTCTTCAACAGTTATTCACCCGAACGGCCCCAGAGACTGTTCCGGAGGATCAGCGCACCACACGGGGACAAGTGTCGAACTACTTGCTTCAAGTTCCCTTTCTTCGTGGGCCTGCGGGACGATCGACCATGATGTTTCGGGGAAGCATTCTCTGGAACGCTCTCCCCTCTGATTTTAGAGTGATACGTGTCCCTGGTCCCTTCCGAAAAGCTCTTTCTGCCATTGATGTACTTACTTTGTGAATATCCTCGTTAAACTTTTATTATCTGCCATAAATTCCAACCTTCTCATCTATCAATTATTTGTGCATGCATGTCTATAAAATCAACCACGTGTTCCTGACTCCATGAAATTGTCTTTCTATTCTTTGACTCCATGAAATTGTTGTCTTTCTATTTCTGACTCCATGAAATTGTCTTCATCTAAATTTTTCCTTTTCTTCTTTTGGTCCTTTCTGTCTTATATTATTATTATCATTTTTTGTTTTCCCTTGCATATCATCCCTTCATCATTCTGCGAGAACCTGTGCTATGGGCAGGTGAGAAGGCATCTCTGCCTGTTCATTTGGTGAAGTAAAATAAACAACAACAACAACAACAAGCCGTACATCTCACACACCACGAGCAGTATTTCTGTACACGCAGCAACAATGTACATTTTAAACTTCAAATTTGCCGTTATGTGAGCGAATCAACTGCAATTATTTATGCGAGTCCAACAATTTCTCACCGCTCTCAAAGCATCCTTTACATAGGCAGCGGTACTTGTGACTGTGCGCTGTTCTTCATGTTCTGGCTGCTCGCTGACAACAGGTTCTTCCACGTCTGGCGGAGTGTGACTGTCAGTCCGCTCCGAAAGTTCAACTGTAATAACAGCGACTTCATCACTCCCACTGTTTCCTGTTGGAGCGGCAGCAGGAGTCGCGCCGCGACAGGGACGCTTTACAAAAATTCCAGGCTCTGCTGGCTAGAGCTTGGCCTAGTCCCTGAGACATCGAAGAAAAGCCTTCGAGTCAACCAAAACACGATTCGAACGCGTAACGAGGATGATCGCCTGAGCCCTCGGCATTCGAATCGTGTTTTGGTTGACTCGATCGAAGACTTTTCTTCGATGTTTGTACCGTTGAAGACGCGTCGAGCGCGTCCCAGCAGGGACCACGTAATCAGTCATTGTACAAGTCAACAGTACTCGTACACCAGGTACACCTGGTACACAGTCAGGTCACCGTGTTTCTGTAGCCGTGCATGCTCACTGTACGTAGACTCTACTCTGTAGACTGTACTGTACTAGTCTGTAGTGTGTACAATCAACACCAGCTCGACCACCGTACCGTGCAACCGCTTTTGGACAATCGTTTCAGGCCGCGCGCGCCCCGAGCGCGCAGTCTAGCTAGACCCGGCGCCCTGCCTTTTATTTTTCGAAACATAGGTCGAAATTTTTGAGGGGGGGGGGGGGGGCGCGCGCGCCCCCCGCGCCCCCCCCTAAACCCGCCACTGATGTAAGATAGGTGTTAGGCATTAAAAGGTACTAGGAGTAAGTTGTCTAAGTGAGGATTGTTAGTGATCATCAATGACTGGCCAACGCCTTTAGTCAACACAAGAATCAAAACTGAGAGCTAGGGCCAAGGCAGGCTAGAGGGGATTATTTTAAGTTAGCATTGCTGAAAGTGCTGGCGATTGCTGGGTCAGCGCAACTGTATCGACTTGAAACTGTCCAACAAAGTCGATAGATATCTGTAGTACTGGTGGGAGCGCATGCCCAGCCGCCGAAAAGGAACCAAAACTCGGAGAAGATGACGATGATCAATATGCGTGTGTGTGTGTGTTTGTGTGTGTGTGTGCATGTGTGTGTGTGTGTGTGTGTGTGTGTGTGTGTGTGTGTGTGTGTGTGTGTGTGTGTATGTGTGTGTATGAGTGTGTGTATGTATGCGCCTGTGTGTTAGTGTGTGTGTGTGTGTATATGCGTGTGTGTGTGTGTGCTAAAATCAGCAGTGCGGATCTATTGCACAATGTCATGCAACATTATCTAAGTTTGTGGAAGGGCCAGCTGCCACAAAACGCACTCGAGTGAATTCAGCTTTATGCTCTTCTAGAGTAAATAAAATAAGTCCACAAATTATAAGAGAAATACAGATGATAATGTGTCCAGCACCATGAGAAATATTCTGCAAGACTCTTCTAAATAGATGATGATGTCCAAGACAGGGAGACTGCTTGTCCTAAAGCTTTTCGTAGTCGGCACCCCGGCCTCCCCGGCATGGAGAAACTACAAACAGTACTCCCTCCTGAAGAGACAAAAGCAACGAACAAGTACATTGAGGGTCCGAAACAGTAGACACGACTTGTCACAGCTGTTCAGTGCTTGCCATGCATTAGGAAAGAGAGAGAGATAGAGAGGAGCAATTTGTAGCTACTTCAGGTTTCATGCATCACTCTGATCATCATGCTCTTTGACAAACACCACAGCATGCTTATCTCTGCGAGCTGCAACGATCCTTCTCTTTCTTTCTTTCTTCTTTCCTTTTTTTTCTTTCTTCCTTTTCTTTTTTTCTCCTCTGTACGGCTATCTAACGATGCCCTGCCTGGATATGCATGACGTATCCCTCTTGAGGTTTTGGAGCTTCCCCGCATGCTTCTATATCACTCATCCTACACGATTGCATTCATCATCGCAACTCCCATTCCATGCCCCCCCCCCCCGTGTATGCAGAGCGTGCAGTCATACCAATGGGATGCCACAGTCTCCGCATCACATGGCACAACAGTAGCTGGACCATCTTGCTCTGTGCTGTCACTTGATCACAATCTTGAGAAAAGAGGTTGCTGAAAAGCATTTTAGAGTTTGATCGTACAGCATGCAATTGACTGGAGCGGCGGAAACCCTACACAGCAGCAGCAGTTACTACAACCAGCTATAGGAGCAACGTATCCATTGTGCTGTGATCATACAGCATGCATTGCATTGAGGGGAAAGAATGCACTCCTGGTCCCTGGCCTTGCTGGTCATCTATGCTCACCCGGACTCTGGGCCCGCCTGGCTCCACTAGCAGGGGCGGCGGAATCGATTCGGTCGGTCAGGTCATGGCGGGACTAACTGTTTGGCCACCAGCGTGTGTTTACTGCTGAGGAGGTCGCGTGTACTAGTGTACCCGCCATATCATACACAATGCGTGTACCCGCCATATCATACACAATGCGTGTACCCGCCATATCATACACAATGCGTGTACCCGCCATATCATACACAACGTGTGGAAAAAGACTATGGTACGGTCCTGACTAGGCTAGGCTATGCATTCCAGATGTTCACTCGCCCGTGACCTGTGCTTTTCGATAATGCCTACATGTACACGGTAGTTGCGCCGGGCATTGCAAGCGCTCACCCGTGATCAGCTGGTCACACAGCACGTATCATGAATTAAACTCACAGGCACATGCAAGAAAGGTAGCCCGACCCTGGATCCGCCACACATACTATTTCCCTATCATGTCCTCAGTGGTTTAATAATGACACCACCACCCACATACATTGATATCTATGTAGCACTCCCCATCACCATCCACTCATTTGCTTCCACTCCTCTCTCACACATCACACGAGAGAGAGAGAGAGAGAGAGAGAGAGAGAGAGAGAGAGAGAGACAGGGAGAGAGAGAGAGAAAGACGGGAGAGAGAGAGAGAGAGAGAGAGAGAGAGAGAGACAGGGAGAGAGAGAGAGAAAGACGGGAGAGAGAGAGAGAGAGAGAGAGAGACTCAGAGAGAGAGAGAGAGAGAGAGAGAGAGAGAGAGACTCAGAGAGAGAGAGAGAGAGAGAGAGAGAGAGAGAGAGAGAGAGAGAGAGAGAGAGAGAGAGAGAGAGAGAGAGAGAGAGAGAGAGAGAGAGAGAGAGAGAGAGAGAGAGAGAGAGAGAGAGAGAGAGAGAGAGAGAGAGAGAGAGAGAGAGAGAGAGAGAGAGAGAGAGAGAGAGAGAGAGAGAGAGAGAGAGAGAGAGAGAGAGAGAGAGGGAGAGGGAAAGAGAGAGCGACCCATCAAGGTAGCAACGAAATGGTTGAGAGTGAAATGAGTACCTTGATAAGTCCAGGCACCTCAACCCAGAGAGAACGGTTGGGGATCATCTCCAGACCTTGAGCACCACGATGGAAGTGCATGAGAAGAACACCTCCAACAAGGTAGCTTGTTACAACAACGAAAAATCTAGACAAGATGAGACACGGTAGAACAGTTGGCATTAAAACACACGACGCCTCCTCCTACATATCACTTTGAACTTGCCCCACGTTGTAGTCAATATGTCTCTGATGTGCTGCGCATGCATGACAGAATGTGTGAGTGAGAGTGTGTGTGTGTGTCTGTGTGTGTGTGTGTGTGTGTGTGTGTGTGTGCAGGCGCGTGCCCCGTATGGGTTCCTGGGTGCCCGGAACCCCCTTTTTTTCGCTCAAAATGCTGGATTTTGCTTCATTTTTTGAAAATTTTCCCGGGGAGGACCCCCGGAACCCCCCCTCCCTTGAAGACCACCGGCGCACGCGCCTGGTGTGTGTGTGTGTGAGGGGGGGGGGGAATAATGCAGTTGGATCCCGGGGCGGATACCTTGATGCTGTCAATCCCTTCTCTATGCCTTGTCCTTGCCCACTTACTTTGGTGCGGTGAGCCCATAAGTGAGATCATTTTCAAGTCCACCCAGAGTTTGGGGATTTCAGGGGGTGACGGCCGTTCGACGGTTCAATAGCCAATTGAGACATGTTTCCAAGATTCCTTTTGAACCTCTCTCCCCTCTTCGGGGGGAGACTCGTGTGACCAGTCATGACAGTGAGCGAGTACACGTGTGTGTGTGTGTGTGTGTGTGTATATGCATGTGTGTGTGTGTGTGTGTGTGTGTGTGTGTGTGTGTGTGTGTGTGTGTGTGTGTTTGCCCTTTTGAATCTCTTTCCTACCTCCCGCTAAGATTTCTTGATGTAACGAATAATCGATTATTCGAACTTCCTCGATCTCTTGGACCTCTACTAATATTCGATCCGATAAAATCTTGGTCGAAGGTTCGAAAATTCTAATAATCGCGGGCGGGCGAAGTCCGTGCGCTGCATACCGCGCACACGACTCTACATCTCTTGACATGGATGCATACACTTTGTACTGTGTTGCCGATAGCGACTAGACTAGGGGCGGTAGACCATGGCAGACTCTACTGTGACTGGAGTCTAAGCGCTTGTGTTGTGTGTTTGCTACATGTACACTTTTGTGGAATAGTAGAAAAATCGTTCATTTGCTTGAGTGGTATTCGCTAGATTATTCGTTCGTAAAGTTCATGGTTCGTTTCATCACTATTATTAAAAGGGAAGTTAAGGCAAAAATTAAAATTTCACCAGTTGTAGTCTTCGGGGTGCTGAGTCGAATGGTCTTGGTCCGAGGAAGCTGAGACGCTCCCTTCCTACTTGAATCCCAATCGAACTCGCGCACTTCCACCGAAACTGGGTGACTGCGCCCTACTAGATGGGGATTTGTATGCAAAATCTCACTAAAAGCGCCATTTCGTTCTTATAAAAGCACGGATGACCGCGATTGGCCCATAGGTTGTAGCAAGAGTCCATAAACAAGAGTATGCAACTGTGATCTCTTTTCTATGGGCCAGATGCGCGGCGCGCTGCCTTCATTACATCATTCAGCTGCAGTCCGCGCACTGCGGAAAATCAAACACCGCGCTTTCCCTCTGGTTTGAAATGAACTTTCGTACGGAACTGGAGTTCACGCGCCATAACTCAGAGATCGCGTAGCTACTAGAACGAATCGAGCAAAAACGGATGGGCTCGTACGAGAAATTGTGAGTTTGAATGCATGCTTTCAGAGCGTGATGAAGGCAAGTTACGTAATGAAGGCAGCGCGCCGCGCACTGGGCCATAACCACAGTTGCATACTCTTGTTTATGCACTCTTGGTTGTAGTCTTTTGGACGCTGAGTCGACTGGTTTTGGTCCGAAAAGGCTGCGATGCAGCGTTCCTCCTTTATTCCCAATCGAACATGGTTGAAGAAGCGGTCACGTGCTCCTGGGTGCCCAAATCACCTGGTCACCACGCCAGCAGGCGACAACTTTCACACCAAGGTTCAACTCGAGTTCAACTCGAGTGACAGGACTGCACCCAAAAAAGGTCAAACAGGCTAGTAAGTTGTACCCTGCAGGCACGGTGACCAGCTGACTGGTGTACGCAGGAGCACCTGACCGCTTGTTCAACCATGTTCGATTGGGAATAAAGGAGGAACGCTGCATCGCAGCCTTTTCGGACCAAAACCAATCGACTCAGCGTCCAAAAGACTACAACATATGGGCCAATCGCGGTCATCCGTGCTTTTATAAGAACGAAATGGCGCTTTTAGTGACATTTTGCATACAAATCCCCATCTCGTAGGGCGCAGTCACCCAGTTTCGGTGGAAGTGCGCGAGTTCGATTGGGATTCAAGTAGGAAGGGAGCGTCTCAGCTTCCTCGGACCAAGACCATTCGACTCAGCACCCCGAAGACTACAACTGGTGAAATTTTGATTTTTGCCTTAACTTCCCCTTTAATTAACTCTTCTTTGTGTGTGTGTGGGGGGGGGGGGGTTGAAATCTAGCCCGGTCGAAATTTCCACCCAGGCCATGCACAATCATGCCAAAAACGCCCCAGTCAATCTGTGTTCATGGCGGTTTGGATACTCTCTCATCTACACATGGCCCGAGTAAGCTGAAAGCCTGCACTCACAACCACCTATTGACCCGTTGAAAGGAGCCAGGCTAGTATGGAACTGTTCACTGCCTAAGAAATCTGGCGGCTTCACATGCACAAGCTGTGCATTGTCAAAAAATAGCACCTGTACTGGGCATCACAGACGCATCACTCTCTGTTCAACGTTTCGGCAAGGCTCTCGAGTGCTTTAGCATTTTTTTGACGATTAGCTCCACAACCGTGCCTATAATTCTTTTTCTCTTATTGGCCACAGGCCATCGAGAGAATGAGAGATTTCAAACCATGTGCATATACATTCTATCCGGTAAAAGTGAAATGCTGGCCGTATGAAAGTTTGCCTCGAATAATGTCCATGCTAACAATAAAGATAGCAGCCTGGACAACAAATCGAGACAACTACTTCGAAGTAATACTAGAAATTGCAGCAGACATGTAGTGACGTCAGTAGAAATCAGTTACAGTAAAAACCTGTGACTACTGACCACCCCTCGGTGCCAGCAAAAGCGGTCTTTAGTAGCATGCGGTCTTTAGTTAGAGGTTTGCACCGCGCGACCATTATATGGATCCCATTATATGATACGATGATCTACATCAAAATGCAGCTAGTACAATTCCCCAAGACTTGCGCAATGCCATTCTTATTTCAGGTCAAACAACACTTGGAGAGAAAGACTGAGAGATGGAGAGAGGCAGAGAGAGAAGATTAATATTTTTTGCGGACATCAAATTCAGCTCCTACTTCTGAAGCCAGGAGTCAAACGTTCCCTGTGGAAGTTTCGTTTTGCGCTGGGCTTCAAATTTGTTCATACGATCAATCGTACCGACTGTCCTTGTTGCGATTTCTCGATTGCTTGAACGCGATCCTTCAGCATCAGGACCTTGCGCTGCCGCTTTGTTTCTGGATTCCTTGATGCCATCGTCGATTCGTCTGTATTACTGGGGTGACAGAGCCTCTTAGTCTTCATTTCTCCTCCGAGTAGTAACATCGATCAGAGAGCGCTTTCGATGCGCTCTCCAAGACGTTTCCTATCATGTATATTCTAGACAGCGCTTGAAATTCTGACAGGTGTAGTGCAGTCCACACCGACTCCACAGTCAAAATGACCTGCGTTCATTTCTTCAGCTGTAGTATCGAAAGATTCCTTTCAGGACCACGGATAATCATCAAAATTTCAAGAAGGAGCTTCGAGCAACATTTGATTTCCTGCAGCGCGGTCGCTAGTTACGGGTCAAACATCGTCTTTGGGACAAGAAAAGGCGGTCACTGGTCGCGTTCAGCAGGTAGTCCCTAGTCACAGTGCATTTTGAATGTGAGACCGTCCGTGCCTGGCGAAGTGGTCGGTAGTACCAGGCTGGTCGCTAGTCACGGTGGTCTTTAGTTACAGGTTTTACTGTATATTCTTCTAAGCAAACCATTTAAGAAGATGCTAACCCTGATGTGTAGCTAACAACTGTATCACTGGTAATGTGTAGTGTTTGTACCTGCTGGTAATGTGTAGTGTTTGTACCTGCTGGTAATGTGTAGTGATCATATTTATATAGTCGTGCCATAGGGTATGCAACTGGTACTTTTTACTCTGCTCTTGATGCACGGCATGTTGAACATGCAATCAATGGTAGCATGCTGACCGGCGTAACTATGAAAGCTTCACTGACAGCATACATATACATGTCATGTCATGCCTCTTGCTGGATGTGCTACCCAGAGTCAGGGACTTGCAGAACGGCGACCTGGCCTAATATTTTGTGCACACTTCAAGTAAATTATTGCGACAGAGCTTTCAGCCCATAGTTCAGCTAAGAGTGCATGGTGGTGACGGCTGGAGCATATGATAAAGTGATACTTCAAGCGAACAGGATTTCAAGTGGTGGTTAGGAAGTGCGAGGCCCAATGTCAGCAGCAACCGCCCACTTCAAATAATAATAATGAAAAATTTCACGTATACTTTCCCTAGGATTCTCAAATTCTATTGCAGCCACTAGAGATGTTCTGCATGTTGAATTTCGACATTTTGGCCGACTGTCACGAGTTGAATCAGGAGGTTCCGGATTTCAGTTTGGAAGCTGTTTGGGTTCTCACAACCTGCGCTAGCTGCATACTAGGCTTGTCAAGGGCTCAACGTGCGTCTCATGCGTAGTGTTCTGTAGCCTGTAAATTGGCCAAGCCAGAACTGGTACAGGGGTGTCGGACACGCTGCGGTCACTACGGTATTGACCATAGCACGTTTTCACCCCTGCTGCCCTGTCTTTTTACTGAAGTGTGTGTGTTTTGGGACTGTACGATGGTAATCTTTCAGGGAGGGCCCTAGTACACTCTGGCTAATGTGCATCTCCGATTGTTGACCATACTACGCAAAACAGCTCTCGACACCCCTGTGCTGTACAGAAACCTACAGGTATAAGTATGTCGGAATAGAATTGAGTTTCATAAAGTCACCGGCGGAGTGGAGAAGGAAAACGCGTCGGGGTATGTTGCATATGATCAGAACTCACATGATGACAGTGACACTTCCTGGTGATATGCCACCTGTCTTTCCGCTGGTGCCACCGCCACCGCCACCGCCGCCACCACCATTACTGGTGACAGGTTGTGTACCCGGTGGTGGTGTGTCCGTTGGCTGGCCGCCGCCGCCCTTTATGCAGCCAACATCACTAACCACTTTCAGATTCTGCCATTGCATAACAAGCAGCAGCAGCGGTAGCAACAACAGTAGAAGCAGCAGCAGCCGCAGCAACAGCAGCAGCAACAACAATGACAAAGGAGTAAGCTACACTGAAGGCAGCTCACCGCTCACATAGTGGTCAATACCCGGACTTCCACTGCTCACACAGCCCTCAATAAGGGAGGGGGTTGCTTTCTAACATAGAGGCTATGCAGAAGCTCAGACATAACGTTCCTGAAATATTTGTATTTGAGGTTGTTCCATATTTGGACTTGGAGTACACAACAGTAGGCACTACCATTTCAATAGTGCTCAACACACATTGAAGTGCAGAGCCATTCACACACCAGAGAGAACCTACAAGAAGAACAAGAACCAAAAAACGTTGTCCTTTCTGTTCCCAGCGTGCGGATCTGGATGGAGTAGGTGTTATCGTTGTGGGCACTACAAATGATGTTATGGAACTAACGTTATGTCAGGACTGGCGGAAGCAGCTTTTGTTTGGTCCGGCCATACCCTAGCCTTTCACACTTTGTGTACGATATGGAGGGTATACATGTGACCTCCCCAGCAGTAAACACATATCGGTAGCCAAAAGTTGATCCGTCCATGGCCGGACCAACTGGACAAGTTCGGCTGGGCCTGTATGTGCAGTCGCCCGGGCGCTGCATTGGATTGTTTTGGTCAAAAGAGGCTGCTACACAGAGTTTCCCCTTCAGATGTAGTCCAGGATCGGCTGTTTTTTTTGCACTGAAATACACTGGTCGCGATCTGCTGCTCATCTTGTCAGGTGTTTTGCGTGTGTGCCCTGGTCAGGTTGGCCTGTTCAGGGACTTGCTAGCATTCTCTGCCATACGCTGATAGCTCAACTTGGCCCCTGAGCTGTCAACCAAACGCTGAACTACGACTTGAAATAAGGTATTGGCCGCTGGATGGTACTCATCTTGGCAAATTTTTGTTATTTACATGGCAATCTGGGTCTCGGGCCACAGAAATGGCATCATTTTTGGCGAGTTGTCACTATTCAAACTGTCAGTATACCCGAGATTGAATGCAGTGAAAGGAGTGTTTGCTTTGGCCACTAAAATCAGGATTCCCGCTGTAGTAAAGAAGACTGGTCGTGGGTATATCTATGAGAAACAACATGCCGGGCCCGCTTGCTAAGTGGGGTGCAGCTCTGGTCGGCTGTGGAGTAAAGGAATACTCAGTTGGTGAGCCGAACCTAGCTAAGGGTTTTGACTCTTGCACAAAGTTGAATCAATTCCATACAGCCTGAGTTGATCACACGTAACAGTTACGCATGATTTTGCATCGGGACAAGTCAGTTCGCACCCGAGCACGGGGGCTCTTGCATGGGCTTTACCCTACCATGTTCCACTCTCGCCGAGCACATTTCCGACTTAGTATGTGCACAAAATAACTTACATAGTTGAGTGTAGGGGATTCCCCACCATCAGTGATGGAGCCAGGCGATGAGCCCTGTTGACACTGCACCACCACATGGGTTTCTCTGTGACGACACACACAATTGATAAATAATACATGATTGCCCCCGTTGACAGACACATTTTAAAAGTATGGCAACTGTGATACAGATATCACCGTAGACTTACAAGAACGGGCACCAGAAAGTCCAGGGAGAAGTGGCATAAAAGTTAAACCACCTAAAAGTAAGGTAGTTGTTTGCTCTCACACTGGAGCTTGCGCTTCTCCCATCGACCTGACCTGACACTTGACTCCAGCCCCCCCCCCCCTCCAGTGTGGGAGCAACCAACTTCCTTATAACAAAATTCGCCGAGGTCGCTACCACTATTAAATAGTGGTAGTGACCTTGGCGATAAAAAGGTGCGTTTTGAATCCAGATCATCCATACGTTCCCAATAGTCTATGCTATAGGACATCACAGACTCCAAAGACTTCCTCTAACATCATGTTTGCGTATGGAAATTGGTCCTTCTCTAGGAAGAACTGGAACAGCAGGCCAGAGAGCGAGACCCACTTCACATCACCTGCACTATCTCTCTGGACGACTATGATTCCCCCGGTCAACACCAAAACATGCACAGGATACTGTTCACTTTTGAAAGGCACGACAGGCAAAATTTCGTAAGTGTCAAACTTCCAACTGAGCTTTGCGTGGTACTGTACTCATACACCACCAAATGTGCAAAACACTGGAACCTTCCAAAAGAGTGTGACGTCAGGAATGCGGAAAAATGCACACAGTGTCAGCCACACTGTACTAACCTTGCATCTGATCCGCCTGTGTATGTCCACGTCGATGTGACTGGATTGGCATTCGTGTCGACGATCACAGTCACTTGTGAGGATTGGCCCAGATTGTACCACGTGCCAGCTTGTTGACACACCTACGGAAATCCGGTGAGACATTTACGAGCAATATCAGAACATCACTGTCGGTCCCCGAAGCCTTTGTCTTAGCCGAAAACTGACATGTGCATGGAACCTTTTTCACTCGCAGATGCGCCAAGAGCTCAATTCTGAGTAAGATGCGATTCTTCTTCTTCTTCTTATATTCATTCTCCCAGCTCTATGTGGACAATAATGCATTCCTGGCAGCATAATTTCCCTTTTGTAAGTGAAGCTCGAGAGAGGATCATAAGCACAAACCTGAAGGAAAATTGGTATATGGTACCATGGCCAAGAGCCTAAGCACAAAGCTCTTTGGGTTGATTAGGAGGGAGAAGTACATACACATATAGAGGTGGGAAAAGGAGAGAGAGAGAGAGAGAGAGAGAGAGAGAGAGAGAGAGAGAGAGAGAGAGAGAGAGAGAGAGAGAGAGAGAGAGAGAGAGAGGGAGAGAGAGAGAGAGAGAGAGAGAGAGAGAGTAAGTTACATTTATAAAGACAGGTAAGTCTAACAAATGAGGACTGAGACCTCTACAACAGGGTTTTTACGCCTGAAAGCAGGTGCATGATTTAACAAGCAGGTTGTCAGTCTAGATTTTATGCGCAGATAGAGAAAAAATGCGCAGAATTTTTGTAATGAGATGAAAAGCAGAAATAATAAGAAAAGATGAAATGAAAGCCTGCTCACAACCCCGCCCAGCCTTGCGAACTGGGTATGGTGGATTAAGAACCCGGTTCAACGCTCGAGCAAGCGCTCTCCACTCAAGGTGTTCACAGCAACTGATAGGAACTCATATGGGGAAATTATAGAAAAGAAATAATAAGATAAAGAGAATAAATTTCAACGCACCTCAATAAACGGAGCCCCACATACAGTACCTCAGAAAAGTGGATCTTCCGACCAGTGTTTTTGTTGACGTCGCAACCAGATGATGTAGCTGCTTCGCAGAGACGTCTTACTGCACAAATTACAAATAAATTTTATTCTTCGATTAGAAAACCCAAGCGCTTTCAGAGCCCTCCGAAGAGAGTCCGGGATGAAACCACGCACACCTACCTCAACCGAAAAAGAAACGACCTGCCACCCGTTTGCTCGGCATTGATCGGCCAGATCCGCATACCGCCTGTCCTTCCGCGAGTTACTGACACTGAATCTGTCCTCAGCACAAACTGTCAACTCCATCCAGAATACAATCCTACGACTCGTAGAGTACAGAACTATATCTGGTCTTAGGGTGGTAAGTGCAACACAGCTAAGGAAAGAAATCTTTGCACTACCTGAGTCGACAAGAAGTTTCCAGTCTGAGGCCGCTGACAGGAGATCAGTCGTAACCAACTTTCGTCTGGGCTGAACGCGAACTGGCTTCTCTCCCGCCTTGCAAAACGAGATGAAGTCAAGCTCATTTGAATTTTCGGTTTGTACGGTGTTTGCAGCAGTGCGGATTCGAATCTCCTCACGCATGTTCCTGACGATGACCCCGAGTACGTTGTCGTGCCTCCAGGTGTAACGTCCCTGGTCCAGCGCTACGCGCCAAGCGCCAAGCACGTGGCGCGTAGTACAGGCCCAGGCACGGCACAAACTACAGTACGGATCCACTACGGTGTTTCCCCAACGGCGTAGGTTCGTCGGAGAAGGTAGCACGTCGAGGGTTGATGCGAGAAGAAATTTCAAATCCTTACCAGTACCACCGTACAAAAGGGATTTCCACGAGAGGTCCTGCCACATCACCGATGTCCACTCCAACCACTTGCCTTGCACCTGAAGAGGCTTCAGCCTCAAAATCTGCTCCTGCGCGTTGATCTCCTCAAATGTTTGAAGGAGATCCTTCCTCGGGGGTTTGGAATGCTGCTTCGGAGCGAGAGAGAGAGAGAGAGAGAGAGAGAGAGAGAGAGAGAGAGAGAGAGAGAGAGAGAGAGAGAGAGAGAGAGAGAGAGAGAGAGAGAGAGAGAGAGAGAGAGAGAGATGAGAAAGAGAGAGAGAAGAGAGAGAGAGAGAGAGAGAGAGAGAGAGAGAGAGAGAGAGAGAGAGAGAGAGAGAGAGAGAGAGAGAGAGAGAGAGAGGATTAGAGAAAAGCAGAAAGAAATATTGGAGGATGGTGTGTGTAGGGTTTTTCATATAAGAAAAAGAAAGAGCAAAAAAGGGAACGAAGGTCAGTTCTTTTCCTCTCACTACACCTATCTCCACCCTGCTCTTATACGATGTACATGCAGGTGCAAAAGCAGACAAACACGATTTTCTGAAGAGAACACAAGAAAAGTCAGCATCATACCACACACCCCATGACCTTAGTGGCCAGTAACAAATAGAGCATCAGCATTGCCCCCTTTAAAACAAATTCTTCCATTCTTACCGCAACTTGATTGGACGGTATGCACTCATCTCCTAAATCTAGACTTCCTCCGCATGGACCGAACACGTACTGATATTCATGGTTGATTCCTTCAAAAGGAGTAGTGAATCTGAAATAGACGGAGAAGCACGGATAACACAATAGAAGGTCTGACCGTATTGTATGCGAGTTCTACATGATGTGGCTGGTATATCTGTCACTCATCAGTGTGAACAGCGCAGACAGTGCGAAGGCCGATATCACAATCACCTAGGATCCAAAAGGTGATGATTCCTTCTCAGCAATCGATTTTCTCCGCTATAGGTTACGCAAATGAGTTGAACTGTTCTCGGTGGATTCGCTTATGATCGCTAAGTGTACAACGTGAGTCAGCGGATTCGCTTATGGGCGCTATCAAGAGTCCTTAACCCAGGTTATGGACTCTTGGCGATATATGCAGCGTGACTCACTAGAGGTAGTGCAGCACTGTAGAGGGGACGGCTCGATACCGGGACGCTTTGACAGCCAAATTTGTATAGACCCAAACCGATCATCAGCGTTGATTTTTCACTTGATATATGTTTGTGGAAGGAAACTGGCATGTTGAAGTTTGCTCTGGGGCCAGAGTCAATCGAACTGAGCCACTCCTTTGTGTTGACCCATTGCCTCCAAGTTGCCCAATTTTTCGCTTCAAAAAAGTTCAAATCAGAGGTGGCTCCAAACCGGACACGTTTTAGAGTGCACGTCAAATTCACTCTGGGTCTGAAATTAGGTAATTGCTATCGCTCCACGACAGCCAGTACAGAGTAACAATAAGCCTTGTGTGTGCTTCCATTAGTTTTGATTGGTATGCGGTGCTTTATTGGCGAGAGGCGAGCCGCTGTTTACCTGCGACAAGAAGTTGATTTTTCGAAAGTCGTAAAACTCAAGTCGCAGTGCGAAGCAACACGTCAAAAACTCACCTGCTTGGTATGGCGCTTCTGGTCATCGCAGAGCCATGACATTTTGGCTCTAACACATCGTAGTCTCACTGTGACATATGTTTTCTCATCAAAATACCAAGAGAGAAAGTGAATATTGAGTCCATTCCAGTTTGCAACCTGTGTCCTATTTCAAACCGTCGCCTCTACCAGGAGTCCGTGACTTCGCCAAAGCATCTCAACTCATGATGTACTCGCATAACCTCCATAACCTCTACAAGTTAGTTATAACCGTTAGTAGACGTTACACTTGTCCATGTGCAATGAACATGCTATACACTGTGTCATTCCAGCTACCCTCCCCGCCCCACCCATGCACATACCTCTCAGACCTCTCAGACATGCCCATCGCGGGAGCGATGATAGCGAACAGCTATGTTTTAGACATAGCAACTTGTGCTGGGATTACACCATTCAACAGCTTGCAAGGCTGATGAATTGACCGCCACTATTTTTAGCCTGGTATCCACCACACAGCTGTTTGAAGTGACTTTTTCTGGCCAGTGAATCCCTATTTTTCATTTTTCATTTTTCCATTTTTTTTCTTTTTTTCTTTTTCTACACACACACTACACCACATACTCCGGCATACACTGGCTGTTGGTAACCACCCAGGAGAATGAAAGAAAAGTCAGGAAGAGTCTGAGAAAGAGAAGAAAGACGTGTGTGACCATAATCGTCGGGAATCGAACCCGCAACCTATCGATTGGAAATCGCTGCACATACCACTGCACCATATGGGACACACACACACACACACACACATACACAAGCACTGGTTAAAGGGGGGGGGGGGGGGCGTGTGATAGAGTTCTCTTCACATATTGATTACATTGTGGTAAATGAGCTGGTACACAAGTAACAGTTTAGCACTCACTGTAGATCTAATGTCTACATGTCATGTACACTACATGCAGCTCAGCACTATTCTATGCTGTAAACTAGTACTTGTCATCTCGTGCTGAAGTTCAATAATTACATCCACACATCCGACAACAATTGCTACATGCTGCATGATTGTATTCCGATTACAACTTGGCTTCGCTCTGTGTGTGCAATCCAGATGTGGCCTTGTGGGTGTAATGCTTGCCTGCTGGCACTGAGACACAGAGATTTGGACACCAGGGCCAGTGTGAGCCCTGGCAGCCGCTTGCGAAGCTCTCAGTCTCAGCACTTCAGTTTTCAGGCTTATATCTTCCTGGCTGTGTCACAAAGCACGGTCTGACCCCTTGCGTACTGACCAGCTAGAGCCATTTTGCGTATTCAATTTGGTGGTGTATCCAGGCATCCTCCTTCTTGGAGCCCCTACTCTTACCCATTCTTGTGTTGTCCAGCTACTTCTCTCCCCTCCTTTTACGAGTAGGTTGTTTTTTCCGTAAAAAAATATATTAAAAAACTGCTATAACTGAAGTGTATTTCGACATGAACTAGACACAACAGTACCGGTAGTTTGTCCTGGAATACCGGTACTTGGAATTATGACCTACAAGAAAACATTGGGTTATTACCACCACACACCATGCTAGTTCACAGGAATACTGGCGTTGCGTTGGTGCTCCCTGCTACACAGGCATGGTCATGTATATACCCGGGTACCTGGTACAGCGGCATCCCGAACGGCAATGGGCGGCAGTGCAAAGTGGTCCGCAATCCTCCGTCCCCCTAGCCAATACTATTTGTTTCCATGTCGAAAGCTAGTCTTCAAGCTACCCTGTCGTGCAGGAACACTAGGCGTCGGTAAGGATGCAGCCGCAATGTTTCCAGTTATCAGCAGCAACGCAAAAGTCAACGGCGAACAAGCAAGCTACAAACGTTTGGCAACTTACGCTGTGGAGATCGCATTGAGATCAATATATCTTCCGTCGCTCAGTGTGCAGTGGCATGGATCACCGCCCACTGTACACGTTTGCTGGCCACTGGCTCTGGCTGCGAGAAGCGACAGCCCAGCGAGAAGAGCATAACTCAACACACCAGCCATGTCTCTCATGTCCTAGGTCCACAAGATTCGCTTCTATTCCGCAACGACGAGAAGTGCGAACGCGAAGGAGAAGCCAGGCGTTCAACTTTGAATGGTTTGCGAAGGGGAAAAACGGTCGATTCGTGGTTTTGTGCCGGAGCTATTTGGCGGCATGTCCAGGTGCAAGACTAGTAGATCTACTAGTGTAAGTAGATCTACCTTCAGTTCACATGGTTCAAGGGACAGTTGCACACCATGTGCACAGGCTTCAGGGATCTGGTGATGGGACTGCTTGACGACTTCCTCGTGACGACCTGGGTCATGCAGTCTTGCAACAACTGTCACGCTGTCCGAAATGGCGAAAGTCATGGGATGTGAACATGGTGAACGCGTTGGCAACGGATCTCTGTACTGGCGCTAGCTGTATGCACTCGACTCTGCACGTAGTCGTAGATCTACGTCTGCTACCTGGACCATGGTCCATGGACAGGCCCAGTCACCACACCATACCAGTGCCTGCGCAGCATGCAGTCAGGCGTGCATACAGACAGTCAGTGTATAGGCTTGATATCTAGTCCGGCATCATCATCAATACAATCGTCATGACATCATATCATGTCAGGGTCGATCATGTGCACGTGCAGTTGAGTCAGGCTAGGCGATGGAGCATGTCATGTGACCTAGCACCTCAAAGCGCCAGAGCAGTATACTAGTACTGTCTAGACGTCTGTCCGTGCAAGATTGAAGTCATGTAGTAAGTAAGTAAGTACCGGTGAGTAAGTAAACTGGTGCTCCTAAGCCTATGCCTATAATTATAACCAAGAGTAGATAAACAAGAGTGCACAACTCTGGGATGGGTAATGTATGTCATTGGGGAGGGGCGGGGGGCTGGTAGATATCATCAACAAATTTGTCAGTCCCTGAACCAACCGTGTCAGTTTGTACAAGTAAAACTGTGCATGTCGAGCGGCCAACCACTGCTTGAAACCATGGACTAACTGGGGAAGTAATAATCCACTTTAGAAAGGAAAAGGACATATGGAAACGAGTTGAGAGTAACTCTCCACCACTGTAACTAGATACTATATACAGTCAGAAAGTGCAACAACTAGTCACAAAACTGACAGAGTACTGAGATATTCGACGTCCTGACACCGATCTTCGTAGCGCTAACCGGCAGCCTTCCAACTCGGAAGGTTCAAGGTTAAGGAGAGACCAAAGAGGGGAAGGTAAGCGCAACGAAAATCAGTACGAGTTGTACTCTGTCAGTTTTGTGCCTAGTTGCACTTTCTGACTGTATAGTATCTAGTTACAGTGGTGGAGAGTTGCTCTTAACTCGTTTCCATATGTCCTTTTCCTTTCTACTTTTATTATTGGCTCAATACCCGAGTTTCAAATAATCCACTTTACTACTACTCCCTGCTTTCAACAGACACTGTGCTTGTTCTTCCTGCTCATCGGCTGATTGTGTTATGTGAGTAGATTGACCCAGCTACAGAGACCAGCTGCAGTCAAATCAAAGAGTCCGAGGAGATGTGTGTGTAGCGTGGGTTGATGTACATGTAGAAGCCAGGCACTCGTGGCTCAGACTCCATCAAGAGAAGAAAAGCTCCGGGCCAGAGTACTAATAGTACACTTACAATACATGTGGTCCATTCTTCTGAGCAGGACTGAGTACTATAATAGATATTATGTAACAAAAGCATTATGTTTTAGTACTCACATGCATCAGTACGTACATGTACTCCCTTGTATTGCTTGTTGTCGACATGCCCAACGTGGATAAAAGAATATTCCTTAGTGGCAGACACCTTTCCACCGATCACACATCCACATTCAGTACCAGCTGTTCCCGGTCAAATTATAAAGTACAATTGTGGATTATACAAGAAACCATAGGTTTTGATGTATAATCCTAATTGCATAAGGAGGTGAAGCGAAATGTAACACTGTAGTGGCCCCTTCGTTTTCTCTGCAAACCCGCTAGAAATACCAGAATTTTTTAACGCCAAACACCATAGCAACCACTGCCCTGGATAACCCCTGTGCCACTGCCTGCCTCCATTGGCCTTGTTTGAACTGCTCTGTAAATCCTGAGCACGCCCCAGTGGGGATGGGCCGGGAGGGACTACAGTGTTACATTTCGCTTCACCTCCTTATGCAATTAGGATTATACATCAAAACCTATGGTTTCTTGTATAATCCACAATTGCACTGCAGAGGCTCCGCTTCATGTAACACTGTAGCTATTTGTCGCAGTAACAAACCGCCCACAAGCAACGTGAAGCGAAATGGTGACGAACATTACATCACCGCAGGCCAAGACCAGTGGAAAACAGGAATAAGTACCTGGCTAGAAAAACCACTATACATGTAGTGTCCAAGGTCAGAATACCATCCGAAATAGACCGAATGGGAGTACAGGCAAGAGAAGCCAAAAGAGAGGAAAAATGGGTTGACAACCCATCATGTCGTCATGCACTAGAACAAGACTAGATAAGAGACCAGAATTACATGTACAACGTGAGTACTTGCGAGTTAGTATTTGCAAATCCAACTCATAGTCCAGGAACCGGACATAGCTAAGTCCGTCGAAGAACCGTGGCCGTGAACTGATCTGCCGCTGTCCGTGCAGGGCTCGCGTCCACTGGCAACAGATAGAAACGCCGAAAGGTAGATGCTGATGACCAATCGGCTTGGTGCAAGATATCCGCTAAGGATACCCCACCGGCATGCGCGGCCGATGTAGCAGCCCCACGCAACGAATGGGCTGAGAATATCGCTGTGTCCACTCCGGCCGCAGTCATACCATCCTTTATCCACCTGGCTATAGAGGACGATGTCACCGGCTTGAAAGGCTGCCGCAGGCTGAGGAAAATCTGCGGATGAGCAGTCTGACGGTGAGGAGCTGTGCGCCTGACATACTCCTGGAAGCAGCTTGATACGCACAAGTGTCGAAGACAGGCCACACCACGGTGGGAAGGGACGCATCCCCTCGGCAACCAGGCCGACGCTGCTTAGGCATGGAGGCATACGTCACACGGAGAGACCCATCACCCTCAGTAACATGGGAATGGAAATCCAAACGATGCAAATCAGAAGAGCGCTTGGCGCCAGTCAGCGCCATGAGCAGAGCCAGCTTTATTGAAAGCAGGCGTAGAGAGAGGGTAGAATTGTCACCCAGACCACCCATCCAACCCAAGACATCGGAAACTTTCCAAGTATGGGAATACCGGGGTTGTGGAGGACGCTGTTGGAAGACGCCACGCATAAGCCGAACCACCAGGGGATGTTGGCCAACTGGCGCACCATCTAAGCCTGGCAAAGTGGAGGACAGGGCAGAGCGATACACATTCAACGTGCGGTAACTTCGGCCCACGGCAAACATATCAGTTAGAAACTGCAATACTTGTGACACAGGCGGCTGAAAGGAATCAATCCGCCGTTCAGAACACCAACTGTGCCAAGCTGTCCATGCTGACGAATAGGCCGAGTTGGTGGAGTCCCGCCATGATCCCAGGATGAGGGCAATAGTGCCTGATGAAAGGCCTGCCGCCGCATAGGATCGGGAGAGATGAGCCAGCCGGCTAGTTGGAGATGACCGCCCAGCACCATGGGATGAGGTTGATCCAGCGGTGAGGTGAGGAGCGCTGGATGGCCCGGTAATAGAACTGGACATGCTACCAGAAGATGGAGCAGGAGCGGATACCATGGCTGCGCATCCCACACTGGTGCCACCAGCAACACTCTGCACCCCGGGGACTGGCGCACTTTGTGCAGAACCCTCGGCAAGAGAGCAAAGGGTGGAAACGCATACAGGCATTGATCGGCCCATGATATGGCAAGAGCATCCACATCCAGTGCTCCGGGTTGGGGCCCCCAGGACACAAAGCTGTCCAACTGGGCATTGGTCCGTGACGCAAACAGGTCGATCGCCGGCTGCACCTGGAAGTGTTGGCAAAGGCCCCGGAACACTACTGGATCGAGCATCCAGTCGCTCGAATCGACCCCCTGACGGGACGGGGCATCGGCCGGGTTCTCCGCCGACAGTATGTACTCGGCTTGAACTGTGATGCCACGTTCCAGACACCACTCCCACACCTGGCAGGCCAGCTGGGACAAGTGCGGGGCATGTGTGCCGCCCATCTTGTTGAGGTAAGCCTGGCAAGTGGTATTGTCCACAAACAGGCGAACATGAAGCGGACGGTCCAACGCCACCCGGTGGAAGGCCTGAAGTGCCAGAAACGCCGCTGTCAACTCGAGGGCATTGATGTGCATGGAATGCTCTGCCCGAGTCCACCGGCCGCCCACCTGTTGATCCCTGCACACTGCTCCCCAGCCATCGAGGGACGCATCCGAGAACACCACCAGATTGCAGGGTGGGCGAACCAATGACTTCCCGTTCCAGTCGGACAGTCGCTCTTTCCACCACTGTAAATCCAGCCTGGCGTCGGGTGTCCACTGGACGGTCGCCTCGTAAGACTGGGACTCGCGAAGAGCTAGGATCTTGAGCTCCTGCAGATGCCGGTAACGGAGCGGCGCTGTTAGCAGACCCGGAGAAAGGGATGTCAAGCGCCCCAACAGACAGGCTAACGTGCGAACAGTCACCCGTGGCTGCAGCAGAAGCTTGGTGCACTCCTGGCGAAGCTTCCGGATCTTCTCCGGAGGCACCCGCATCTCCATGGCACGAGAGTCCACTTCGAAGCCCAAGAATGAGATGTTCTGGGCAGGAGTCAACACCGACTTCTTGAAGTTGATGAGAAATCCCAGTTGATGTAACAACTGAATTGCCCGGCGCAAGTGCTCCAGTGCTTCCGCCGCCGACGATGCCATAATCAGCAGGTCGTCCAGATAGATAATCAGGCGCACACCTTGGCTGCGCAGAGTCGCCATCGGAACCTTCATGAGCTTGGTGAACACCCTTGGCGCGCTGCTCAGGCCGAAAGGCAAGCACTGAATTGGAACAGCTGACCTGACCACCGAAATCGGAGCAGTCTCCTGAAATCGTGGTGGATTGGCACCACGAAGTAAGCATCCTTCAGGTCCAATTTCACCAGCCAGTCGTCGGGCTGAAGGAGATCGGGCAGCAGCTTCAATCCTTCCATCTTGAAGTGCTCGTAGCGCACGAACCCGTTCAGCGCTTTCAAATTCACCACGGGACGTTCCTTGCCGGAATCCTTCTTTGGAATGGTGAAAATCTGGCTGACGAATTGATGAGGACACTCCTGCACTCGAGTGACGGCCCCTTTCAGCATCAATTCGTCCACTTCGAGCCGCACAGCGAGCGCTCTGTCCTCCTCCAGAGATAATTCCCTGGGCTCCGTGCTTTGTGCGGGATCGGCCACGAGATCCAGCTTCAGGCCCCGCACCGCATCCAAGACCCACGGGTCGGACGTGATTGCCGACCAGGCTTGCACAAAATGCCTCAAACGCCCAGCGACCGGAATTTGGGGGAGCGGGGGCACGAGCGGAGCGCGCGCCAGCTCGTTGTGGGGTGGACTTGGATGGCCGCGAAGATGTACGTTGAGCTGGGAACGCGAACCATCCACCGGCAGGGTCATCAATGACCCTGACCGCGCCCCCGAAAGGGCCGATTGCCTCCACGCCCGTTTTTTGAACTGGCAGTGGCGGAAAAATGACCCTCTCGCCTATGGTTGTCATGGCGGGGAAATGAGCGGTGGCCCCCACGACGCCCACCAGCACTTGCTGGGTAATAATTATGGCCCCTGAAGTTGGAAGGCCGACTATCCTTGTATGCCGGCTTCGGCTTGGACGAGCCAGACGAGCGGCGAAAAGCGTAAATTTCTTGAGTCCGCTTCTTGTATTGTCTGGTAAAATCCTCGCCGAACAACAAGTTCCCAGACGGGGCCATTTCCCGGAGGAGGCTGGACGGGCACTTGTTGGGGAGCTGCCCCGTCAGTCTTTGCCGCCGCATGACCGAGATGCTATTAGCGGCATCACCCACCAAAGACACTGCGACCTGCAGGAGCTGCGTGATCTCCTTGGTTGGTCGCCCAGCATCCACTGCGGCCCAAGCCGCCGAAACGGGCGCAAACGCGGCACATACCCTAGTTTGCACGGCCGCCATGGCTTTATCGGTCTTCCGGCCAAAGCCCAGCGACGGGAGGTCGCGGACAAAATTATCCAGGCGAGGACACTGAGCCTCCTCCACCTCCGGAAATGGGCAGAGTTTTTTCAATTCTGCCTTTTGCTTGGAGGTGAGAGACCGCCGGGCGTTAGCCCGGAGGAATGCCGCAATATGCGCTGGTGGGTGCCAAGAGTCCTTTGCCCCTAAGCGCGACGGGTCAAATACCTCGTCTCCATGGTCACGGTCAGGTGAGGAGTCCGTCCCACTAGAGGAGAAATCCTCGCACGAGGAGCATGACCGACTACTAGATCCGGAGTCCGTGGATGAGGACCGGGAGCGTCAACGACGAGGAGAGATGGAAACTCTCCGCCTAGCTCCCCCGGTCAAGGCCCGGGAGTGGACGACATCGCCGGGTCCCGACCCGGACTCACTCGACGAACGACGATGTCGTCGTTGAGATCGATCCCCAGTCCCGGTTCCATGCCCTCGTACAGAGGGAGCCCTATTATGGGGTTCCGGTGAAGCCGTGGGGGATCGGTCACGATACCCCAAGCTCTGCGAGCGGGGCCTTATGCGGAAGTCCCGTTGAGGGCGCATGCGCGGACTGCCTGCTCGCGGCCTGGCCTTTTCCAGTCCCCGACGGTGTTTTTGATGGGAAAATGGCGATCGAGAACGGGAACGACCGTGGCCGAACTCATAGTCGGAAACAAGGACGTTCAAACCTGGGGATTTGTCCCTAGCAAACCGTGCATGGCCACTGTAACCTACAGATTCGTCATCTGAGGCCCGGGGGCTCTCAGTGGCAACCCTTTTTTTAATTTTTTTTTATTTTTTTATATTTTTTTATTGGGAACACAGCCCTACAAAGAGACATGTGGAGACAAACACAAGACAAGACACAGGGGATGTAGAGACGACGTGCCGATGTACAGGGAGCAACTCGACCGACCAGGGGTCTCGGCGTTACTTTGCCGTTAGCGTTGCAACCTGGCATCGAAAAAAAGGGGGGGTTGCATGGTCAGGTAGCAAAAATAATAATTTGGTGCGAGAAAGGGGCGCTAGTATTGCACCAAATAATATAAATTAATACGTGTAATGACTAAACCAGAAGGGAAAATGAAGAAAGAGGACAATAATCATAACAAGCAAGTAGTAGTAGAGAGGTAAATACTAAATGGGTCTCAAATCTCAATATCATCGTCACAGGTACTGTGTGGACCACAGCCATCTCTTTCGGATTAGATCCTTACATACGTTGACCTTGAAGGTTTGGAGGCGTCTTGAATGAGGCTCGTGAAGCAGGAGGTCCGCAGGCAGGTTGTTCCAGGGTGTGATGGCGAAGAAGGGGAAGGATCGCAGGAGGTAGTCAGGGGCTGTGCGAGGGGGTGTCCACTTCAGCTGAAAGGCATGGTGCGTCTGACGTGTTTGCCGTGTGCACATGCTAGCTACGGCAGGGGGCTTGGTTGGTGGCAGCATGGCCTTTACCTGGGGAGGCCCTGGAATGTAGTGCAGCTTGAACAAGTATGACAGGGCTGCCACCATCCGACGAAGCTGAAGACTTTGGAGGATGGTTCCAGGTCCCAGAAAATGCAGGGCACGTTGCTGAACCTTGTCCAGCTGGGCCATGTTAGTTGCGGCTGCGCTCGACCAGGCCAGTGGGGCATATTCAAGTAGGGGTCGCACGAATCCCTTGTAGACCGTCACTCGACCATGGTCGTCCAGGATGGGTGCTGCCTTTCGTAGGAAACCCAGCCTTTGGGAGGCGCGCAGTGCAACACTGCGAGTGTGCACTCTGTAGGAGAGAGTAGGGTCGAGCATGACTCCCAGCAGCTTCAGGGTATCTGTCTCCTGGAGTGCTTCACCTCCAAAGGTGACTGGTGGAGTGCAGGGGGGAACGTGCTTGCGATGTAGAGTCATGCGCTGTGTCTTGGCTGGCTCAAAACAGATACGCCACTTGCGGCCCCACTCCTCAAGACTGTTGAGGGACCCTTGGAGGGAGGCGGTGGACTGTTGGAGATCGTCAGTTGGCTGTACTAAGCTGTAGAGTGTGGTGTCGTCTGCAAAGCTGTTCAGCTGCGTTCCTGGAGTTAAACATTGTTCAATGTCACAGGTGTATAGAAGGAAGAGGCTGGGTCCTAGGATGCTGCCTTGGGGGACACCAGCCTGGATGGGTTGAGCATCTGACGTCTGGCCTCCAACCACAACGCGGATGTTTCGGTTGGTGAGGTAGTCCTGTAGCCATACAAGCAGGCGTCCGTCGACGCCGGCCTGCTTTGCTTTGTACAGCACTCCTGTGTGCGATACCCGGTCAAACGCACCGGCAATATCCACGGCGAGGACCTGGACACAACCGCCAGTACTTATGGTGTGGACCCATTCATGTTGGAGAGCCGTTAAGATATCTGCGGTTCCTCTACCACGTCGGAATCCAAACTGGCTGTTTGGCAACACCTCATGCTTCTCTATGGTAGTTAACCAGTTGCGTGTTTACAATGCCCTCCATGACTTTCGACATGATCGTTAGCAGTGATATTGGTCGGTAGTTAGATGCCAAAGATCTGGAGGACCGTTTGTGAACTGGGACTACATGGGCAAGTTTCCATGCCCCAGGTTGCACACCGGCTAAGAAGCAGAGGGCGAAGAGCTTTGCCAGTGGGTCTGCAAGTTCAGATGAGCACATCTTGAGCACACGAGCAGAGATGCCATCCGGTCCAGTTGCTTTTGATACAGCCAAGTTCGCCAAGTGCCGTTTGACCGCTGCTGCGCGGAAGTGAATGTGCTTTAGCGTGGCATAGGCAGGTCGTTGCAGGTCAGGCAGGTCAGCAGCACAGAGGTCGTTATTGCCAAGGCTACACTTGTTCGCAAAATGCGCTGCAAAGCACTCGGCTTTCTCACGAGAAGAGTGGAACTCTTGTCCTGCAGGGTTGGTCAGCAGGGGGATGTCAGAGCAACGTCCCTTGCCTGCTGCGCTCTTGATGGTTGACCACCACTCTTTGTCCCGGAGGGAACCTGCAGTAAGCTTGTTGCGAATTCTACGTTGATGTGCTAATCGCGCTGCATGACACGCTTCCACTTCGTGGTTAACAGTTGTGATGTACTGGACCTTGTGGTTATCGTTGCGGGGATTGCGTCGCCACAGCTTCCATGCCCGCTCCTTGGCATGATTGGCATTAGAGCAGTCCGGTGTCCACCATACAGGGTTGGATTGGTGCACCACAAGCTCTTTGGATGGTATGAACTGTTTCATTCCATGCATGATGACATCAGTTACGCGCTGACAGGACTGCTCCGCACACCCATGGATCTTGGCGGGCCAGTCTATGTTGCGGAGGTAGGCTCTCAGGCGGTGCCAGTCAGCAAGGGCGTATTTCCAAACCTGTCGAACAGCAGGATCTTCACGTCGTGGATGCTGTTGGAGAAACTCGGCAATGATAACGGCATGATCAGATCATCCAAGTGGTGCATAGGCTGTGGTGCATACGGGGTGTGAGAAATCGGAGATGATAAGATCGAGAGTATTGTTGCCACGGGTTGGCTGGGTGACATGCTGGACAAGATGATGTGCTGCGCAGACTTCCTCCAGGCATTCACCGGCTCGGGTAGTCTTGCTACTCTGTAGCCAGGCTGAATTATGCACGTTGAAGTCCCCTGCAATTATTACATTGCTGCCAAGACGGCGGACATCATCCAAAGTGTTGTCTAGGTAGTCCATCAGGCTGGTGTCTGTCTCTGCACAAGAGCCAGGCCGGTAGAGCGCACCCAGAACAGTCTTTGTTCCGGAGTGCATTGCCAGGGAAATCCATAA